AACAAAAGAAAAGTTCAAACTGACGTATCATCTTATAGAGTACATTTAGCACTATCTCTACTAAAAAATTAAAGAAAAATATTGGAGCTATTTTTGGGGAAATCTTAAAAATTGCACATATTGCACGTAATATTGCCCTAAAACCACTAAATTTTTCACAAAATGTACATGACATTAATGAAAGAACTCACTATGAAAAACTTTCATTTGAAAGAAAAATCTCTATCTTCAATTTTGTAGTTGTAGGAAAATTTTGAAACTTTCGAAAATTCAGAGTAAACCCTGAAAATTGGACCTATACCACCATTATAAGAGTATTTTACTCTATTTTTACTAGAAATTAAAAGAAAAAAATTGGAGGCGTTTTTGAGAAAATTTTGAAAATGCACAGGAGGCGTCATGTAAAGTGACCCCAAACTTTGAATAAATATTTTGAAAATCGCAGCGCCCCGAGTCGAGACAGTTCGATCGGAGAATATCCAAATATTTTGAAGAAAAAAAAAATGACGTATGGCGTAGGCGCTAGTGGTGTTTACAAACGGACTGATGGACGTTTTAAAAAAAAGAAGAAAAAAAACAACAAAAAAAAAACAAACAGAAAAAACAAACACTCTCACGGTATCAGGCGACCCAAAACTTGCATTTCCGACCAAATCTCGAAATCGATTTTCCGAGCATTACATAACTTTACCTATACTATGTAATTTTACTCCGTACATACGTATACATACGGAAAAGTATTTAAAAAAACGTTAAACACTATGCATTTTAATATTAGATTTGTGTTGTTCATGCCGGCCATCAGTGGCTGCCAGTGAGCTGCGAATTAGGAGGGGCGGCATGTCCGAACTAACACATACATTTTACCTTTTCAAGATATTTTTTGAAGGAGGAAAACTATAGCATGAAATGTACAACCGATTTGCACGTTCTGATATATCCTTGTCTAAGACAATTTTTACGTTGATAACGGAAAATACTAGTGCTCACGCGACAATAAGAGATTAAAAATATTTGTAGCAAACAAAATAATTTATGAAATCAAATGAAATGGTGTTCTTCTTAACTTAGTTAATAGCCGCGTATTAAGCTGATCAAAACCCTATAGAGATGACCGGAATGACGTCACAACGATTGGCGGGAAAGTGTTGGGGGCTAATCTCTGCTGTGCGCGTATTTCCTAGAAAATTAGTAAGTGTGTGGCAGTAATAAGCGGTTGGCGAGGTACGTGTTTCTTATCACAGTTGTTATTTACAATATTTACTTTATTTCGGTTTATTTAGGTTTTGGCAACGAATTTGTCGAACTAATTGGATTTAAAAAAGCACTATTTTATCTACACCTGTCAAGTAACTAGCTTTTCTTTTCGAAAACGGATCGAAGTAAATATAAGACCACAGCCTTCGCGATGATCCTAAGGTGCTGCTTTATAATAAAATTATATATGAAACATTTTGTGCCACATGCCCTTTCATCGGATATGAGTAGTGTCAAGGAATTTCGAGCCTCTGTACTCCTGTATATTTTTATAAACTCTCGGCCGTTTAAACATTTATTTTAGAAATTTGTATTCATTATTATCATCGAGAGATAAAATACCTATATTAAACTTGAAAAAAAATCCAGAATGTTCATAAAGAGATGCCCAAAAATGTTCGTAATTTTTCACGAAGTGGAGGATCAATCAACACTAAGTTAATCAGAATTTAATATAATTCAACTATTAACTTTTCAATGCATTAATTGTAATAAATATAGGGTTATTTAAAAATATACATAAATATTGCACTACTGTATTATATTTTTTTTAATCTTTGCAGTTTCCGGTGCTGAATTTAAATTTTGATAGTTGAATTTCAATATTTAAGTCACGCGATTAAAATATTACTAGTCATCCCCAATGATTTTAATGTTAATATTTTTTATGAAATGCATTTTCGATATCTTTTGCTTGGCAAGTTTTAATGAACATTTGATGACATTTCTTACAATACAATTGGGACACGACTTGCTACCCCTTGACGGCTCCAAATGTTTCAATGAAGGACGAAGAGTTATTGTCCTTTAATATTCTGAAAGTAATATTTCGGTTCTTCTATTAGGAAATCTAGACATTGAGAAAAGTTTGAAAATGTACTTTGGACGGCGATAGATGGCTGCTGGCAAGAATATGTGGCAAGTCTGAATAGCTAGCCCAGACCAAAGAAAATAGAAAACTAATACGAGAAAGTCGGTGACATTCTGAACCACCACTAGGTTTTCAAACATGACTTCTTTGGAATTGATTTTTTCACCAACTTTCTGAACAGTTAATAAAGTTCATATTTTTTACAGATTTACACAAATGTTTAAGATGAAGTTAACACATTTGTTTCAAAAACATTTAATTCATTTTTTAAAGTCGAAATAAAAATGGGATCTCATATTATCACCTCATTTAAAAATGAAACTACAAATACTTTCGATCTTGACAAAAATAGATGATTGCATTTCATTTGCAAAAATTTATTAAAGTAGATTTTGAGGTATTTGTCCTACAGTTATGTATAAACATTTGTGATCATAAAAAACAAACATTTTCGATATATGATTCACTGAGAAAAATTCATCTTTGAATTTACAGTTCGGACCGTTCAATAACAATGAGGATCGTCACCTTTGTGTTCAACTAATCTAACAAATGACATTCAATAATAATTAATTAAATAATTAACAAAATTTAAAACTGTGTATATAATTGTGGTACAAATAACTTAAAGCATTGTTATAAACAAATATTTACGTGGTTATAATAGCGCCCAAATCCCCCCCCCTCCCAGCACACACACACACACACACACACACACACACACACACACACACACACAAAAGATCCGAAATTCCACTTCTGTAACCATCTAACTTTTCTTGTTTCAATGCAGAAATATACTTTTGCCCTCTTTGTTCCGAGGGTACTATAATTCCCGATTTTTGGCAACAGTAGGGCATCTACAAATGGTTACTTTGTCTCTCCTGGCCCCTTTTGCCCCAGTACACTGTCGAACACAACGTGGTTTTCGTGAAAATACAACTTTATTTTAGAGAAAAAAAGAACATCTCCCTGTCAGAAAGTGTACCTGCACAAAACAAAAACCATTATAGGCACAGTAAAATTTCCAACGAAGAATGATCACGACGTTTTAAAAGAAAATTGACACCTCTGTCGTGTTTTATCCATAAGCTCACAGCTTGTAGCACACCGCCGCTTGCCACCCAGAAGCGACGGACCCGAACTACACTTGGGTTTTTATTGCGCGCGAGGCCTTGTCTTCATGATGGAATATCTCGAAGTATTTCGCGTTTTTCTCGGCCGTGCCGCTAAATGTCGCATAATCGCCAGCAATGGTCGATGGGGGGCATCGTATCTGCGTATGAGCGCAGGGTCTCTGGTGGAGAGTGGTAGACGACCATCCGGACCCTTAAGTTTCACGGCGGCACGCACGTCGTTAGTTTCAAGGTGGAAGCAGTGAGTAGTTGATCTCAAACTCTCGGTTATCCGGTAACCCACAGTTAGGCCTCTACGCGCCGACTTTTGGGCAGGATTGGGCGAAGGGGATTCTTCGGAATGCTCTGGAATCCACATATAAAATTCCGGTGAGAGATTACCTACCGCCAGGTTGCCTAGGTACTCGGCGATACTCACGTCGGTAGCCTAAGGGTGTAGGCAGGGAGGAGAGGGGATGGGGGCCCCAAGCAGCCCGGAACTTAGTTTGGGTGGCTCCCAGTTGCGCTCTTGGCTTCGTCGTGGCAGTGCCCCAATACTCTAAGCATTCGGGAGGGACTTGGTGTCTCCGCGCATGTGAGTGGCGCCCCAATATTGACTCCGGTACTAGGCTGGAAAGGTAGGAGCTCTGAGCTGGCCTGGCCCAGGCATAGAAGGGGAAGGTTGCCGTGAGGGCAAACTGGGTTCCGGCCAGACCCGAATAAGGGCCCGTTGCCGTAGATATGCGGCAGCAGGGGGTGCGGATCAAAGTGAAAAAGCTCATGCCCATCCCGGGGACTCGTGCCGTCCGATAGAACATGCTTTGTTGTGGAGTTTTGCGCACACTGGGAATCCAGCACTGCTCGATACAGTCGCAATCATGCAACATCTAGCGGCCGAACTAAGGAAGACGCGAAATACCGTGAGATATTCAGTCGTGAAGACAAGGCCTCGCGCGCCTAGAAATACAATACTATACTAAAGGATATTAGAAGTCAGTGTGTTGGACATCTCTGTAGCAGCAAGCTGCACAACCCCCAGCACCCCTACTATTCCTCAAGCTTCTATTGCCTCGCTTGCACCAGCTAGGACGGACTCCCGATAGTCCACAAAGCGACGCATTCCAAAAACATTTTTATTTCGCTTCGGGACACAAACAAATCCGTTCTCAATAATTGCGCTGGCGGTATGCACAAATTAAACGAGTCATTTTATTGCAAGTTTTAGTTATTTCTACAACTTTTACCGAGGTTGTTTTTATTGGGGATGGCCGCCTTAAAGGCCTTACGGAACAGCCGCCACTGGATGGTAGATTTTGTGTATTATCTCTAAGCAACATAAATTCACCGACACGAAAAAATGACTCAATTTCTTTTTCCCAAACACCATTGAATTCATACATTGCTTCATTAATAATTTTAGTTTAAGGACTTATACCCTAAAATTCAACATTTGTTTCATTAGTTAGTCATTTCAAGTCAAGCAGATGCAAAATTCTATTGATTGTTATCCGTTTTCACAAGTAAAAGCTTGCTGCCAACATTAAATGAAAAGACAAATTGAGCTGATCCCTGTAATGTACATAAATACCCTCAATATTTTATGCTTAGATTTACATTTCTACGCACGCACACGCGCACACAATTCATCAAAAAAATTGGTATGTTGAACCATTTACAGGGTTGCATGGTTTGGAGAGACTTTTCCCCAAATTGTCAGCTCCAGTCGAATATTAGAAATTGACCATAATTACAGAAATAAAATGTTTTATTACACAGGGCTACAGGATCACTTTTAAAATGTTCAGGGGGGTGTGACAGCCCCCTGTGTGTCTCATTCATTTGTAGCATTCATGGGCGATAAGAGGTGGTATACACAGTGATAATTTGTAATCAAACTCTTGAAATAAAATAACCAGATTTCTGTTATACACAGAATGGTTGTAAGTCAAATAAATTGTTATTCAGAAGAAAAACTTTATGAAATTTGAACTTTTGTATTAACTAAGCATTTTATATTGTCCGGTAAATAATTAGGCCTACTAAAACAACAGCTGTAGAATGTCCTGTTATTTCTTTTCTCCCAGCAGGATCTCCTTTAATATTTAATAGCCGTAGGCCTACTACATTGCAGGTTATGATAATTTATATTGCACAAAAACAAGTGTGTTCATGCAAGATTTTTCAATTTTTGGATATACAATATCATTCTTGGGAAAGAGCCATTCACGTAATACGTAATATGTTTATCAAATTTTGCTTATCCTAAACCACTATCTTTGCCCCTTCTCATGAACATTTCATTTTGTATCATTCAGTATTGAACTTGCCATGTTATATGTTTTATGCATAACATGACACAAATTGTTATCTTTTCTCAGTGTTCATGTTTTCAAACAGTTTTCTCAACTTCTTTTAGATTTCAAATTTATTTGTATAGCCTTGCATAAAAGACTGCAGATCTATAGTATATGTACTATTGCTTGTAGTTTCAACACTTCTTTGCACTCCCATTTCTTGGTTTGATTTTCTTTTTACCGCACCTCATGATTGACCTCGCCTCACGGGGTGTGGGTTCTTACACTTTTCTGGGGAAGTGGTAGTTAGAAAATTGGGGAGAGATGCCCTGCCCCAAGGAGGTGGCTGGATAAAACTCTGGCATGTAACATTTTACGAAACTTAAAACTTATATCAATATTACATGGCTACTTTCTTTATATCACTCTTACCACAGTTCATAACAATATTTCAACTATTCTTACTTTCTCTTAGAGGATGAGGTGTACAAAATTGACATGCTATTTCCATTATTGCCAGTAGCTTACAAAATACAGCATATTTCTAAGAAAGAAGTAGAACAACGAAAAATACAAAAGTCCTTTTATAAATTGTTTTTTGAGTAAATACAAGTTGTAGTACTTTGGATGCAGAAATTCATTCATTGTGGATAAGAATGGCAAACTAGCAAAGATTTCAGTAGGTTAATAAAAAACAGAATTGCCACAATTTATTTATTTTGTACATAATTGTATACACAACTGAAATGCAAATTTAAAGAAATTAACCGTTTTGATCAGTTATTTGGTCACTTGATGAATGGCATGTGCAAGGTATTCAACATTCTTTGATGTAACTCCTGCCATTGAAATTCGTCCATCTTTAGTTAGATACACACTGAATTCCTTTGTGATTCTTTCAGACTAAAAAAGTAGAGGAATAATATCAAATTAGAATGGTAAAACACCTCCATACTAGTTTGCGTGAAGTATACCAAGAGTTTAACGAATACAAATTAACTTCAATTATTCTCTAAAATTCCAACTCAATCACATTTAAACATTAATTTAATTAATGACACATTTATACAAAACTTTACCTGTTGTGGAGTCATTCCTGTGAAACAGAACATTCCAATTTGATCTGTTATGTGAGACCAATCACGAGTTGAGCCTTCTTTCTTTAAGTTCTCTCTTAATTGAGATCGGACTGAAATTATTCTATCAGCCATAAGTTTAACATCCTTCAACCTACAAAATCATAATACAATTAATACAGTTTTTATAATTCATACAATATTTTCAGATAAAAGTTGCAAACATTATAAATGGTAAACTGAAGGTACAGGGAAAAAAACAAGCACGTCCTTTTTCTTTGAAATCTTTTTTTTGAGATTGAAGTAATTTGACTTGCCTCCTCTCTAACCGTTCAACTTAAGAATAATCAAACACATTAAAGACTAGACAAGTTAACAAACTTAATTTCTTAACTTCAAAAAACTAGCAAAAATTTTTTTTTTAAAAGGTGGGTATGTATTCATGCGGTAAAATTTTATTTATTGCCTGAATTGACCGTTTCAACTCAACAATTTGGAAAAGGGGTAAAATATCTGAGAAAGAAACAGATTTCATATAGGTTTTCACTTCAATGTTAAATAATGGTTAATAAATCAATAAAAAGAAGAACTTGCCTGCTGACTGACATAAATAAATTAATATTTTTATAAAATACTGCAATATCTTATTTCCAACCATAGTTGTTTGTTTTTTTTATATTAAGATATACACGTCTCATGTCCTAACTATAAATGAATAGAATGCTATCAATACCAGGAACAGCAGAATTTTACCATTTTAGAAATTATTGTAGAATTAAGTGAATGCTGAGAAATAGGAGACCTAAAATAAATTCTCAGTGTAATTTACAGAAGCTTCTATATAAGTTTCCACATAAAATTTTGAAATATCTTTTTACTTAAAAAATGTTAATACATATAAGATTTCTGAATTTGTTTGAACTTTAACATGAACATTCAAATAAATCAGAAGAGTAAGTAACTTGCAGATTCAAGCTTTTCAATATTTAATCACGATTAAATCAGGACTCGCTTCTAATACTTCTAAAGCGATGATCATAATCAGAAGTTTTAGTACAATAGCTCCATATTATGAGATCACTCAAGAAGTTTTAATTTCTTTTCCTACACTCGTCTCATTTGAAATAAAGTTTAATATACTTATCATTAACATAGTGACAATACATTGCTAGTGAATAGGAAAACTGCAATCGTGGCCTCATCCATAGTATTCACGATTATGCAACAGGGATGTCTTAACTAACTCTGAAAATATTGTGTCCATTATACATCTATCTACTTCACGAGTAATGTTTAGCCTGCACATATTTAATGTATTTCTAATGCTACAATAATGATAACATGATTTTGATCTTTATCAAAAATAGGAAGAGGTTGCATTTCAGGTTCCTTTAAGGATTATCTAACTGCAGATGCTGTTGTTGCTTCATCCTTTTTCTCTCTTTCTTCCTAAAGCACTTTCATTGCAGATTACCACAAGAAATGTCTGCTCTTACCATTTTTGACGTAAAGCGGGATCTGACAGAATTTCAGTCACAATTCGAGCTCCATGAATAGGAGGATTAGAATACATGGGCCGAACCAGAATTTTCAATTGAGACAAAGCTCTATCTGCTTCATCTTTACTTCCTGCAATAAGTGTAAAAGCTCCCGCACGTTCACCTGTCAAACAAATGTTTCAATGCAACACAGACCATTTGCTCATGATAAATAACTATATTATATATTCAAAATTAGAACACCTTACCATATAATCCCATATTTTTGGCATACGATTGTGTCAAAACAATCTGATGACCGTCTTTTACAAATTCTCTGACAGCAAAGGCATCTCTTGTAACATCACCTTTAAAAGTACCAAAACATTACACATGTTGAGTTACGAGAAACAGGAAGAATGCCAACTGAATGTGTTGGCCCTTCATGTTTAGAGTACAAATGCCACCATACAGGCAATAACAGTTTGAAGTGTGGGAATTAAGTAAAACCCAGTTATAAGAGAAAATATGGGCTGCCCAGAGTTCCAATGAATAAGATTTGGCATTTCCTTCCCACATATAAGAAACCTATTTATAAAACTTTCCTGCCTACAATAGACATAATATTGATTCCACAAGAATCTTCTTTTCGCGAAAGTAAGAAATAGAATTCAAAATTAAAAAATTTCCCACGTGGTGAACCGGTGACTCCTTGGATTTAATCTTAAGAATATTTGCAAAGACTAGAAATGTATGAAATCCCATCAGCAAAAATACTCTTCCAAAATACCTGTTCATTTGTGAAAAGTGAAAATCATCTCCCACTTTCCATGCAAGGCACACGGTGTCTCAAATGCTCATTCATGCTAATGTTCAAATCATGTTCCGCCAAGCAAGAACAGTGAACTCTAGGAAATGGCGTGGTTTATGAGAAAATTATAGTGTATGTTCTATTAAGCTTTTCCCTGTTGTGACTTTGTGTTTAACATCTAATATGCAGATAATTTTAATGAATTTCAATTGTAATGGCCCTGAAAAAGAAGTTAAAGTTGACACCAAAAAGAGCTGACCTCATACAGCGGAAAATGAAGCCAGCCATGAAAACGGTAAATGTGTAATCTAACTTTAGGTGACTATGAAATTAAATATCCATTTCCCACTTAAAATGTTCCAGTCTATACACGATAAACAAACGTTCTTCGATATCTCTTATTCAGGGTTCTACTAGTGCACAAGATTATAAAGCGTTAAAATAACCATTATACTGGCAACATAGGTACACAGAAACCCATACAAAAGATATTTATTTGTTCTAGTGTTGTGAATAAATTCTCTTCTTCACTGCAGGTTTTCTGAACCATGTGTATAATTCAAACTATTTGAGTATTTTCATACTATAGTTTTTAACATTGGAATTATACTCGTTTCAACAAACGTCACATATTCATAGATAATTCATTACTTTTATCATTTATTACTTAGATGAATTTGTCCTAATATTGTGCTATTCATGCCATTATAGAACTGTTTTATCATTAATTCCATGAAGAGTACATATAAAAAATGTCAAAACGACTATTAGTTTTGTTATGTTGTCCAAATTATTGTGGCAAATTATGTGCAATATCACTTTTCATACACTGCAAGAGCACTACCCCCAAATAATCACTCAACTCCAGAAACTTTCTTGTAAGAAAATGGAAAGATTATCTGAAGAATTAACAATTGAGGGATGGAAAATTGTTTTCGGTAAACAATTAGAAAATAATTAATGTACAAAAACAGTGGAGTAAAAAGCTGCCTGGAAACACAATGTCCAAAAATAAAAATGAAAAAACTTGTTTTCAGTATTTGAAAATCGACTACATCAATATGGTTGTGTGATCATTAACCTTCTTGACATTACTACAAGAAATAAAGTGGCATAATATTAGATTTTTAAATACATTGATTTACCCTTTTTAGAATTGTTATGAACTAGTGTGTTATACTTCAATTTTATCTTTTATGTTTAGCATGATTTTCAAATGATTAAATTTTTTGGTTAATTACATATGTAAATATTCAAAAGAATTGACTTTATTACCAGAAGCAAATCCTTGATAAGCCATGTCAAAAAATGGGAAAAGATTCTTCTTCTTGACAACTGCAGAAATTTCTTTCCATTGTTCTGGTTTAGGATCTACTCCAGTTGGATTGTGAGCACATGCATGGAAAAGAATGATTGATTTGTCTGGGATTTTCTGAAAATGCACATATTTAACATCAATTCAATAGTTCAAATTGTAATAATTTCCAAGAGAACAAGAAACAAATTGACATACAGCTATATCTTGCAGAGCTCCTTGAAAGTCAAAGCCACAGGTTTTAGGATCATAATATCTGTACTGTTTGACATTTAAACCTGAGTGCTTAAAAATGGGAGTATGATTACCCCATGATGGGGTTGGTAAATATACTTCTTTATTTCCTGGAAAAAACTTCTCCAAAAACGCTGCACCAATTCTCAATGATCCAGTACCAGATATTCCTTGAAGAGTAGCATTCTATAAATAATAGATCAGTCAATATAATTAAAATATCTAAAAATAATAAATTGGTTAATCTATTAAAATATCTTTGTGAACTCTATAAATATATGTACATACCAAGCCATTCTTCACTTGCTCATTACCATCACCCAAGGCTAAATTGATGGACAATTTACAAAATTCTGCTGTTCCAGCAATAGGAGCGTATTCATGATCAAGGTTCTTCTGTCTCAACCTTTCTTCTGCCTGAAATGTAAATATAAATAACAATTCACAACTGAACTCACTTTTTAATAATAGTGTTTAGAATGCACATTAATAACTGGATTCAGATAAAGGTTTAGGAATAGAAACGAAGTGGAACAAAAAGGGAAAACCAGTCTTAGATGAGGATAATTAAAGAAATACGTTTCGACTGCGAAATGTAACTCCTATTGGAAATAATATGTTAGACCCAATGACACTGATAAGGTTTATAAAATACCTCTAAAACACTTGGCAAAACGAAGGGCTTGCCGTTGTCGTCTCTGTAGGCACCAACCCCCAAATTTATTTTCTTTGTATTTGTGTCCTTCTTGTAAGCTTCAGTGACGCCGAGGATAGCATCTGGTGGTCCCATTTCCACGTTTGACCACCATGAGCTAAGGAAAAAGCGATACATCGAGATCAGTCTTGTTGACGTTTCCACGCAACTTCATTTTACTGTGATCACGATTTCTTGATTCTCATCATCTGTTTGAAGCCCTTACTTAAATAATAATATAATAATGCTTTTTGACTATTACAATTCTCCCCACAAGAGCCAGCGCTTTACGACATTTCGAACTTCCCGGCTTCTTTGATAGCCTATCACAGCATACGGATATTGTGTTCCAAGGCATTCTTCGACGCCCCCCCCCCCCCATTCTCAAAAATTACCTCACTGGTACATATATTATAGTACTGAAATTTGGTACCGGACTCCAGGATACGATATCCCCAATTAATTGCACTGCTTTTATCTTGGCTGATGTAAATATACAGAGCAACTTTCAAAGGGGCCAAATTTATATATTTCAAATACTTTTACTTTCATTACTTCTTTTTAACTTTGGAATTCTTTCAAATATAATTAACGAAGAAACTGTATTGTTAAAATTTATAGTTAAGGAACTTTTCACAATTGTCAGCAGCACATTATTTCTGGCGATTTGCTACTACGATTTTTGCCGAACATCACGTCTTTATTAAAATATACGCACAAGTTCCATATTAACAAATTACGTAAATTAATTAAATTTTGTTTTTCGCCTTTTCAACCGACAACTCCTTACACAATTACATTTTAGCCGTTTTGTAATAAAAAGGTAATGAAGAATTTTTCTAATTTTTTTGTTACTGCTTCCCCTTTTTTCTATAAATATACTCGAGAACGGGGTCCGGAACAGACTCCCGGTTTCAGATGACATCTATTACGATATGTAGAAAATACAAAACGTCATTGATTGGAGAGGATGAAACGCTGAAAGTGTCCAATGATCTGGCCCACTTGAAACAAAAGTACGGACGCACGTGCTTAGCATCGATAAAGTTGCTCCATCTGTATCGAGTAACCTTCAAATGACAATGCGTCGAATACTATAGTGCTTGTATCATCTACGTAAAACGAACGTCATAATTCTGAGGGGGACAAACAAAAAAAAATTGATACGTCAGTAAAACACTGACATTCAAAACAACGTCAGTGTTCTCGTCAGTTAACAATTTTGTGAATAATGAAATTATGCAGTCATGGACAAACTGAACGTATCATTGCAAAACAACATATTGAACCTGCACGCTACGAAAATATTGATATTATGTGTCAAACTACTTACCTCGACCTAACTGCCATAGAAAGAACATTTTGCCCAGTTCGCAAAACGCCGCTAGATACAACTCTCCTCGGTGCTGCCATGTTTCACACTCGCCGCTTGCGGACGTCCTCTACGAGCGAGCCAGCAGTGGGGGGAATGGGGAAGGGGCCGACGAACTAAATAACCGCAGAGTTCCGCTCTTCCCGGTCGACCAAATTATTCTGTCCGAATTCTCCTTCGCGTGGCGTATAGTGTCGAACGAGAAACCGGTGAATACTGCGCAAGCGCGTTTGATTTGGCGGAGCCGGCTAGTGGGAGACAACGGCCGAGGTCACCCCTCGACTTCCCAGCCCCGCCCACCTCCCGTTCACTCCTCCATACCCTTTCCCCTCAGCACCCGCCACGCCCCAGCATCTCCAAATCCCACTGCCCGCACCAGCCGGCACTTTGTAAGGTGTATACTTGTCACGCGGCGCATGCATGACCAGAGACTCTACTATTCACGTGCACAGTACTTTTATGCCAAATAACGATTTTAAAATTGTTCAGAAAGATTTTGTAAATGTCTCCAATTGTGTCGCTGATTCGAGTGCTCGTGATTCGCATGACGTAAACGAAGAATCTCGGGTATTCCCATATCCTTAGAGATTATTGTAGGCCTACTTCCCGGTTGTAATCTTTGCGCTCAACCCTACCATCTTTATCCAACTGCCCTTTTAGAGATAAGAGTAACTTTCTGCTTAGTGTGTAATAATTCTTTGTAATTTTAACAAATTAATGTTGATTTTTCATAAGAGGACACTTTTTTAATTGAACTCTGTTTTATGCTGTCTGATTTTAAAAAATGGAACAAAGTGACAATGGGAATTTTACTTTTCCCTTTATGAACAAAAGCCTCAACTACATTATACTGAAATTTGGATTTCACATTTTGCAATGAGGAACTATGTACATAATGTCAGTAATTTTTATTTTTTTATAGTGATGTTCTATATGATGACCACTATTATTATTAGTAGTAGTAGTAGTAGTAGTGGTTATAGTATTATTGTTAAATATACTTAAATTTCCCATGTATTAGTGTATTTAATATCCTCTTAAACTGGTTATGGGAGTGAAGTAATGTTTTTTAATTTCCACATTTGTAAGTCCTATAGATATTTTAAAATTTGAATATTTGATGAGAAGTTTTCAATTTTTGTACATTCAGTATTATTAAGGATATAAATATGATGTAGACATGGGAAATACTCGTAAAGAAAATATTCATGTATAAAGCCCAAACAAAGTGGTAGACAGAGGGAAACTTAGCCAAGAACATACATCAACAATAAAAACAAAATCATCAGATTTCTTCGCATTAAAGCTGGAATTGTGTGCACGAGGGAAGTCAATTGCACTATAGAACAAGACAATTTTGAATGTATTTCCACATGGTGCCAGCAGTTTTTAAAAGATTGATTAATGAGAGAGTAGTTGATGTTGATGTACTTTACCCACTCATAACTTTGATTTTAATTTATTAAATGATGCTTGACTGTGACAGTGATGTGATTATCTTATGTTTTCAATATCTGTACATTTTTTACATCTTGATTTTGTGATCCATTTTGCATATTGTACCTTAGAAATCTCTTAAGATTTCTCTCTATAAATCATAAGATAATTGTAATTTATATTCCACATCCTCGTATAAACATACTATATTTCATAAACATTTTGAAAATTTCACTTTTTTTTCTTATTTTTTCCCCATTTTTTTCTAAAATTTATAATTCCTCATCAAAGTTTCATGATAGAAATGGTGGAGAAAGAAAGTTAAGTTCATATAAAATTTGCTGTGTATATCTACTTTGAATTGTTAGATATCACACAATAAATTTACACATTGTTTCATAATACAATGTTAAAGGTAATCTCAGAAAAACTTAAGCAGTTAGACTTTGTACTAATCTATTAGTACCCAGCAATAGACTTTGAGTATTACATGTGAGCTGTTTTGAGCAATTCATCCTGATTGTCACCTGCTTTTAGAAGTTTCTATATGAATAATGATTTTATTAAATCTTAGTAAACATCTTCATGGCATAGTTACAGTATTCTTTGTGTTGATCTTTTACATTACTGATGTTTCTTTCACAAGAAATCCAAATTTCTCCTCTCAGATCCACTATTTCTTATAATTCCTATAAGGGGCTGTCCATAAATTACATAACACAAATTTGGAATAATTTGAATACTCCCTCACACCATTTAACACATCAGTAATGCATGCTTGAATGATGCCCCCTAATAAATGCAAATAATTAACGTTTGCGATAATACCCCCTTCCCTTATAAATGCAAGAAAAAAATTATAGCACAGTAAAAACAATGTGCATTCATTTTATTTGTGTTGTATATTAAAATTTATGATAATTAAAGCCAGAATTAGTTGGTGATGCTAAGAGCACCTAACAATAGGATTGAGGACAAGTTACTTGTGAGTGAAGAATGGTCGCATAGGGGAGAAAATTAGGGATCATAAGTCATGCACAAGCCGTCATTGAGGACCTATAGGCGAGAGTCTACTGTGCCAATTTAAATGGATCTAGATTATACTACACATCATTTTTTTTTGCAAACTTTCAATTCAATAATAAGTTGATAAAAAAATATTTCTACTTATTGTAACAATTCACATCTAATAACTTTAATTTATTTATTTAAAAAAATTAATTAGTTAATATTTTAATGTTTTAGTATTAGACTAAAAATGGAATTATTTCAGCAAATGTTGAAAAATGTAAAAGACATAAATAACAATGTTATGTAACAATAAACTAACACCCCCTACCCCTATGGAACGGTGCATAATGCTGCCTCAAACCATGTCCCCCCTCGTGAGTGTTACATAACTTATGAACGACCTCTCAGTGATCTAAGGAAAGTAATCTTAAGCACTACTGATAAGTATTGCATCTGCTTTTGAAGCTGTCATTACTTAAATAACATGATCTATTTTATCCAATCAAGTATTTGATGTTTTTAAAACAAATATCAAATACTTTATGGTTATTCCACTTTCAAAAGACATAGCTGTATTAAGTATTAATTTTCTTTTCTTTTTGCACAATACTGATAATTAGGCTGCAAATTTTGCATATTTGCATGTTTTTTCTTTAAACAATGATATGCATAAAGAACACAAATTCATTTCTTGTTGTTTGGGATTGATATATAAAATCTTATAGTGCATATCTCTACATAATTATGATGAATGAACATATTTTCATTTTAGGGGATATTTTACTATTTTTATTTTTTAAAATGTATTTATTAATTTTTTTTCTTTTGTTAAATGCAAACGCTGAATGGCTTTTGAGTTTTCATTATCTCGGGATGAAGAGAGTGGTACGGTTCATCTGAAAGTCTATATCCAGATGTGTCCGTGTCTCTGTGGGAAAAAAGCAGCCCCACTTTGTGGTCTGCCCCATCCTGTGCCCCTCCCTGCCTGCGTCGAACTGTTTTATTGTGGTATCACAACCTCATGCAAAGGCGTGTCAGCATGAGCACTGGCAATGAAAGGAGTAGCGGTTAGAGAGAGAAAAGTACTCATTGGCGGAAAAAAATTAGGAAAATTGAGGAAAAAATCACAATTTGACAACAGTGAAAAAGATAAGTGGTATTCAACAGGATGAAACACAGTGTTGAAAATTACACAGCTAAAGGAAGCAGTTTTTAAGTATTGTCCCCTAAGCTCTTACAAAGTTGAAAGAACTTTTTCTGTGTAAGAACATTCTTCTAGATAACAGAAAAAGATACACTTCAGAAACCATGGAAAATATATTATAATCTGTTGCAATAGAAATTAAATTCAGAATTCAGTGTGTATCATTCAACATGTAAATCAAACTATTTTGTGTAGAATAAAACATGTACTTTTTTCTGTGCATATTTTTCTTTTTAAGTCCTTATTGTTTGCTATTTGTTAGAACATATTTGCATGCATATTTTCAGGTTTTTAGAGCACATGAATCCACACCCTACTGATAATAATTGCTAAAGTTTTAAACTGAGCTTCAGGTAAGTGATATAAAAGAATTCCATAGTTGCTGGAAAAACTATATGAACCAGCCAATAAAATTGCTAAAAAAAGTTTAATTATGATGAAATTCAAATTTAATTTAATTTAAAACCTGTCAGTGACATTTTTGTTCAGTGTTCACTGGCATTTCACCCAGTACTGACAATGTTTTTTTTCACACAACTCTTTAATTTTCTTCCCTTAATGTTTTAATTTCAGATTAATCAAATCTTATGTTACATTCTATTTCTTAAACACATACTATGTACAGAATATATTCTTAAATATAAATTGGTTTATAAATATGGGATAAAAAAAAAAAACATGTTTGAAACGATTAGCTTTTTACCCCCTCCCCCCTAGTAACAACTTGTCACGTTTCCAAACACACAGTCCCAGATTTAACTGTAAGTAGATTAGCTGCTGCATAGAGGCTGGAATACCTTAAGGCCCCAAATTATGCAGCATTCAATTGTTTTGTTTTTTTACAAAAAATGGAGCTTAACTTTTATTTGGCAATGATGCTCTCAAGCAAGGTTTATTTTTGTCTTCCTAATGCAATTGAAGAAGACCCTTACTGCATGTATGTTACTAGAAAATAAATGCTACTAGTAAATCACTGCAATCAGTAGAGTGCAACCAATTCAAAAGATATATCCTAGTCAAGTCATTAGAACATTGTATTAGTAATTTATGAGAAGAATATAAAACAATGATTAAAGTGACAACTGATTTATCAGGACTATAATTTAGAGTAGATGGACAAACTTATAGAGGATGAAAGAGAAATGTGACTTATACGAAAACAAAGAAGTAAGACATGAATTTACAATTAGAGAACATTTTATTGACAATTGATTTTATGTCATTTGTGATAACATTAAGGCACCACTATCTCAAAGAGCTCAGAAGTATAAAGTTGTTGTAGATCTTTTTCATGTCTTTTTTGATTGGAATTTGTCAACAGAAGAGAGCAAGCATCAGGCCTTTTTGTATATAGAGCAGGAAATTTTAAACCACATTGACACTGCCAAAATAGTTTATGGTTTTGCAAGAAATAAAGCCAGTTAGAAATTCATGTTTTTTTAATTCTGTTTATTTAAGTATGAACATTTTCATCACTTTCCCTTTCTGTTTATAAAAATTTTATGAAAATTTTCTTGTAACTTGCATTTGAGGCCCCCAAAATGTTTTACTGCTTGGGGCCTCCATATGACTTGAGGCACCACTGCCCCCCCACCTCCGGTATGAACATTCTATTACCACTCCATTTTGCATAACTCTCCTCCATTTTGCGTAACTTAGAATTACAATATGGGTGTTATATATACAGATTTAAACATGCAATGCATTTTTGCTTAAATTTAACATTAATTTGTATTGAGGGGAGAATACTCATTTTTCATCAGTGGTACTTTTGTAACAGTTATGGGAATATTCTTTGCCCTAAAAGTCAACTTATCTTTTGAATGATCACTATATAAAGAATGATTTGTTCATGCTGAAAAATTTGTTTATTTTGTGGGTCCTTTTAAGCTGTCCAAAATATCAGATAACTAATGTTACATTAATATAAAGAACTGGAGAGGAAAACAGATTGACATGAAAAACAATTGAAATTTTTCTATTTCACTCCCATACAGTTTCTATTATTTTTAATTTTAATAGTTTAGAAGTTGAGGCTTTTGATCATAAATGACAATAAAATTCCAACTGTCACTTTGTTCAATTTATTAAAATCAGACAGCATGAAATTAAAGAATTCAGCAATGTTTTTTAAAGATTTTCTCCTCTCATGAAGCTGGTGGTGCAACAAAAGCACATACTTTGTACCATTATTCCAAATTGCTTCATAATATTAACATAATGGTTTGAATCTCAGCATGGAGAAAAAAAATTCCAGCTGGAATATTGTATTAAGAGTATTCTGTGTTTACCCGCTCACCACTGGTGACGAAGCTAAATACAGTTGTATTTCTTTTTTACTAGATGTCTAGTCCAATTGC